GAAAGGCCCGCTCTTCTGTTTTCTGTGTTCGCTTCCACTTTGGAGCTGACGTGGTGGGTCCCACCCATCCTTTCGGGTCAGGCCACGCAGGGGGTGGCCAGTCAGAGCTGTGTGCCCTGGGATGAGGTGCCCTCGCCCGGCCTGCCCACTCTGCTGGCTGGTGAGGGTGTCAGATGGTACAACGTGTCTGTCTAGACAGCAGGAGCAGGGGGAGGGGCAGGTTTCCTCTGAAAACCAGGGACCCAGTGACAATACGGATCTCTCCGGGATGGGGCCTCACTCCTGGAAATGCGTGTCAGTATGAGCGGCCACGCTGCTTCTGCACCTGCTGCTGAGATAGCTCTAGGCATGGGTTTCCCAGATGTGGGCGGGGCCACCTGCTTCCGCATCCTGCGGAGACTTTGTGTAGATGACGAACTCGAGACCTCTGGCCTAGAGTTTCTGAGGGTGGGATCCGGAAATTGACATCGGCAGGGAAGGTCCACCCCGATGCTGCTTAGGTGAAAAGTTTGAAAACCCTTGTTTTAACTCTTCTGAGGCACTTGCCAGTGGCAGGTACCCCTTCCCTCGCTTGGCAAGCTGACTCTCCCCTCCCCGGATTCACAGCAGGCCTGCAGCGGCCCGTCTTCTTTCCCCAGCATGAGGAGGAGCTGTTGTTGCTCGTTCCCTTTCAGAAGCAGACAGACTCAGGAGCCGAAGGTTGCTTGGGATGGATTTCAAGAGGATGCTGAATCCGTAGAGGCAGGACCGGGCCCGGGCAACTGGAATGGGCCATTACTGTAGAAAATTCTTTCGGGATTGTCCAGCCACCTGGCCTGAGGCTGGCCATCAGCAGCTGTCAGAGGCCATCAGGGTGTGGCCCTGAAGGACTCAGCCAGGACTGGAATCCCAGTCAGCGCCGACAGCCCTGGTGATGTCGAACAACTCCTGAGCCTTCCTGCCCTTCCTCCCAACAGGTGTGCGTCTTGACCGAGTGCGTGGAGGCCGCCAGAAATACAAGCGACGGCTGGACGCGGAGAACAGCCCGTACCTGAGCTTACAGATTTCCCCACCTGCTAAAAAGCCATGTGAGTGCCAGGGCCGTCCATGCCCCTTCTGCCAGCAGCATCTGTACTGGCACATCTGACATCCCTTGGGGACATGCCACCTTCCCAGTGCTGGGTTATGGGACACTGTGGATCGGGGGGGGGGGGGGGGGGGGTCTGTGCCTGGCAGTGGTGCCAGGTGCTTCAGAATGAGACCGTATTCAGAAGGCCTTTCCCCATGGGGTGCCCCAGAACGTGGCTCCAAATGCAGCGTGGTCCCGAGGGGCCTGGGCTCCAGCATCCAGAACGTGCCCCTCTAGCCGCCCACACGCAGCGGGCTCTTCTTGGGAGAACTCACCAGGCAGCTTCCCTGGAGGCTCTTTCTCAGCAACCTGAGTCGCCATGGCCAGCAGCCCTGTGGAGTCAGGAAGGGAGGGACGATTACAGCCATGTTTGACCTTCCCGGGCTCCTCATACCTGACTTGTCTTCCGACCCCTCCCGGCCTCCACCCCGGCCCCGTTCCTCGTGCCAGCCATTTACTTCCCTCCTTTGGTCTCTGCAGTGACCAAGATCGTCTCCTACCTGCTGGTGGCTGAGCCAAACAAGCTCTATGCCAGGCCTCCCCCCGGCATGCCTGAGGGCGACATCAAGGCCCTGACCACTCTCTGTGACCTGGCGGACCAAGAGCTCGTGGTCATCATCGGCTGGGCCAAGCACATCCCAGGTGAGTCCCATAGGGGCAGGGAGAGAGTGCACGCAGGGGCCCCGGCTGCTCTCCCCACGGCCGGCCTCAGGAGCCCCGTGACACCTTGGCAAGCCTGTTTGCCTCTGGTTTCTTTGTCTCTCCCTGTGGGAGTGGAGGTGTGTCTGTGTTTGGAAGGTCCCGTAATGTCCCTAAACCTCTGGGGGCTCCTCAGAACTGGTTATCATTCTAAAGGGGTTATGATTGCATCTACAAGGGGTGATATTCAAAGGGCAAGTTCTTTGAATCCTCGTAGACCTTATTGGAAACATGCTGGAAAACAAGGCAGGAGAGGGATCCGCTCTCTAGCTCCGTTAGGGGCCGGTGGAGTGGAACGGCTAAGAACATGGCTTGGGAATCAGATGGGGATTGAAATTCTGGGCCTGCAGCTTACTAGCTGAGTAACCCTGGGCGGCTCCAGCTGCCTCTCCATGGGACTTACCTCCCACGTGGGCTGCGTCGTGAGGCTGACATGTGGCCATGCGTGTGCACACGAGGCACATGCTAACGTCAGCTGCACGCTCACTGTTGCCAGCAGGGAGGCCTGTCTCCTTGTCTGGGTTCTGTGACTTTGTGATCATTTCTGGCCTGGGAAATACGTGTAACGGACATGCTTCAGACGATACGGACTTTTCTTCATTGCGTGTGGCCCCCGACCCCTTGTTCAGCTTTCCTTGCTCTGGATAAATGGTGGGGGCTGGTTTTTTATTTTGTTTCTGTAGACACTGGCACCCACATATTTTGTATGACCTACACGGTGGGGACCTTGCTGAAGTCTGTGCAGTGTATCCCTTTAAGGTTCTAACACACTCGCTCGTCGTGCGGTGGGGACAGCCTATTGTCCTCTGGCGCTGGCTCTCCTGGACTTGGATCCTCGCTCTCCATGTGGCACGGGGCCCCTCATCTTGCCTGCAGGTCCTTTTTCTGTTTGCTTGTCACGAGCTCTGAGTGATGAATACGCTTACATGCTGATGTAGCAAAGGTGTCCTGGCCTTGAGATGCCGGGACCCACGGTTGATGGGGCGAGTGAAAAGGTCTTCATGGGAGTCGTGTGCACAGCTTACAGGGAGGTCCCTCCCCACAGGCGGGGGCTGGCGGGGAGCCCTGTGGCTCAGAGGGGATGCCGGTGCCATTTAGCCGGCAGATGCCTACAATCCCCACTTCGGGACTCCCTGTGGCCCGAGGTATATTTTGACTCAGGGGTGGGCTCGCTGGGGATCTGGACTGGAGCGCCCTCACTAAGGAGCTCAGCCTCTTGGGATTACACACTCAGTGGTTTTGAATCTGCCCTGTGCTGGTTCAGCACAGATGTGGGGTCAGGCCACTGCTTAAGACACCTCAGCCTGGATTGCTCCACTAACCCAGGGCCAAATCGGGCACAGCTCCCCTGCACCCCTCCCCATCAGTCACTCCTCTTCCGGGTTGAGCAGATATAGTACCCAAGCGATGGCTCAGGAGTGGCTCCTGGTGGTCCTCCGGTCCATTGCTTCCCTCTCCTACCACCCAGCCCTGCACCACCTCCCAGAGGGTAGGGTAGAGCTAGGAAGCACTCTCTCCCCTGCACCCATTTCTTCCAGTCTGTCCTATCATCCCAGCGCTGTCTCCTGTCTGTGCCCAACCGACAGGGCAGTGGGCAGAGCAGAATGGTTCCTGGGGATACAGACCCTGGATTCAGGCAGACCTGGGTTCTGATCCCAAGCTGCCCTTTCTGGTATTACAAGAACTCCTTCCCTCCCTCCCTCCCTCCCT